CAATTTATTTCATATGCTCATTTATTGAAGAGTTATGACACCTATATGTATGCATTATTCGATTTATTTTATTTGTTGTTGTCGTTTCAAGTGCTTGGCTTTTGTTTGATATCCCTGTTGTGGCTGCGCTTGATGTGAATGTTGACAAGATGCCTACCTGTCAGTTACCCTCTACTTCCATCGCAGTGAGGCTGGACCTTTCCGTGGTGCGATGGTTTGTGTGCCTCTGTGATCCATTGAGCTATACTGGGTGGTGCATTTTTGCACCTTCAGAGCCACTCATACCAGATTGGTCAATGGTTTGAGGCCAGACAAACTCAGCCTCCTGGTCCTCCAGGTTGGGGGTTGAAATGAGAGTGGCTCCTTATTCCTTAAAACGTACTCCTTGTAGCCCAGTGCCAAACCCGCTGCCTTGCGGTCAGGTTTTTGAACCAAAGGCTTTGGTTGAGAACCCTAATCGTTCTCCTGTCTAGACCTGGGCAACCTGACAGTATCCTGCCCACGCAATACTATGAATCATGCTTCAAACAAATTTCTGATGCTCTGGCCACCGCAGAGGATGATTAACGGTGCCCTATCTGCTGCATCGGGCAGGGTGGATAGGGGTTTGGATGCTACTGCTCAAGCCTTCCCGTCTTCTTATTCCCTCTCTTGCGCTTTTTCATCATTATCGACCCGTTCCAGCTTCACTTTTATTCCCCTTGTTTTCAACCCCCCAATTCTCGGCCCTCCCCCACCTTGTTTCAATAGTCGCTTGTCTTTTAGTTTCAACTCACATGTGAACGCGGAGCGTCATTCCTGCACTGTCAACAGGCCCATGTCCAACCAAGCAACCCATTCCAGTTCATCGGCTTCCATTTTGAGCCTTCGATCCTCCTTCAGATTGGCATGCCTCAATGTTCGCACATTGCTTCAGATCGGTCGACATGCAGCACTTGCCCGAACATTAGAGACCCTCTCGATCGATATCTGCTGCTCATCGGAGACCTGCCTGCAAGACTCGAGTCCTGTGATCACTGCGATCCCCTTCAGGTGACACTAGCAGCACTTTCTCATTGCGCTTATCCGGTGATGATGCAGCTTCGAGCACCGACCAAGCCGGTGTTGGTATTGTCCTGAGTCACCGGGCTGAAGCTGCTCTGGTTGATTGGATTCCAATCAGTAGTTGGATGTGTGTGGTCCGATTGGCTGGCTCGTTCAAAGCTTTGAAGTCTCGTGAGACTAACAGGTGTCTATTCGTTATCGCTTCCTATGCACCGACAAACTGTAGCCATGACTCGGTAAATGAAGACTTCTATCGTCAACTTAACGAACTCCTTCGCCACAGAAGAAGCACGGATACTGTTATGCTGGCTGGGGATCTTAACGCTCAAGTTGGGAAATTATCCACAGATGAGTTGCGTCTGGGCGGCCAACATGGTATAGGCTCCCGTAATGATAACGGTGAGCGGTTACTTCATTTATGTGAGGATGCTCGCTTATTTCTTGCGAGCACTAATTTCAGACATAGCACCCGCCGGAGGGTGACTTGGCGCCCACCAGCCTCGAATCAGCTATGGACGCAAATCGACCACATTGCTATCAGTTACCGATGGAGAGGTTGCGTCCAGAACTGTCGCTCGATTTGGAGCACAGGTGTGGACACCGACCATGCACTTGTATGTGCTGACATGCGGATGCGTTTTGGCGGACGCCCGCGACGATGTTGTGAGCGCATTGACACCAGCCAACTGGCGAAGCCAGCTGTTCTGAATGCCTATCAAAGTACGCTGTCATGCGAGTTGGATAAACGCTCACTGGATGCAATTGAAGCTCACTGGTCTCATATGCAACAGTCCTTACTAGCAGCAGGCGAATCCTCATGTGGTATGTCTAATCGCCAACATGGACGTTGGGTCTCTTCACAGTCTATGGAACTTATAGATGCTCGCCGGCATATTCCGGCTGGAATCGAACACAATGAAACTCGCAAAGTGCTCCGGGCAAAACTCCGTGCTAGCCTGAAGAGAGACCGCGAATCCTGGTGGTTTCATCGTGCATCAGAGATGGAAGTCGCCGTTTCCCTTGGTAACGATCGTAAGTTATTCCGTCTGATATGGGAAACGGGCAGCAGGAGACCTGGTGTTAGTGAAACTATGCGTGACGAGAGTGGACAGCCTATCCACAACTTATCGAAACGCTTAGAGCGTTGGGCTGAACACTTTGAAAGGAATTTAATCGGTCGGAATGGTTAGATTTCTCGCCGGCCACTGATCGCCCCACTCCCTGGGCTGTATCGTTGGATCCGCCCTCTCGCTCAGAAGTCGAACGTGAGATCGAACTGTTGAAGTTAAATAAAGCCGCGGGACCTGATGACCTTCCTCCAGCCCTCTTCAAATTCGGGGGACCTGCTGTTGTGGATGATTTACACGAGTCACTAGTGAAACTGTGGGAGCAGGAAACTGTCCCAGCCGATTGGAGCCGCTCCGTCATAGTCGCAATTTTCAAGGGAGGCTCACGATCGGAATGCGGCAGCCATAGAGGAATCAGTCTGATCTCCATCGCCTCCAAATTGCTTGCCTCTGTTATCTTTCACAGACTGACTGGCACTCGTGAAAGCCAGATTCGTGAGCAGCAAGCTGGATTTCGTCGAGGTCGTGGCTGCATTGACCCCCTCTTCACCTTGCGTCAGTTGTTGGAGCACCGTCACAAATATTGGCGGCCCACTCTCGTCGTGTTCCTCGATACCAAAGGTGCATTCGATTCGGTCGATAGACATGCACTTTGGGACTGTCTACTCAGGAAAGGTGTACCTGAGAAATATGTGAATATTATCCGAGCATTATGTGGGCGTAGCTCGGGCAGAGTGAGGGCTTACGGCAAGTTGTCGTCGCTCTTTAATATCTCCAGCGGTGTGAGACAAGGATGCCCACTGTCACCTTTCCTCTTCAACTTCGCCGTTGACGAAGTCATGGAAATCGCATTCACAGGACACGACTTAGAAGGTGTGGAACAACTCCCAGGAGAACGACTTTTTGATTTAGAGTATGCTGATGATATTGACCTAATCTGTGACAGCTCACAAACGTGCCAAGCGGCACTGGACAGATTAGCACTAGCTGTCCGTCACTTCGGGTTTTGCTTCGCACCCTCGAAGTGCAAAGCGTTCCTCCAAGATTGGCCTGGACCGCCTCCTACGCGGACCCTTGGTGGGGATCAGCTAGAAGTCTTTCGGAAATTCAGCTACCTGGGTAGTTGTATCAGCGCCCGTGGGATTGAAGATGGAATCACGAATCGTATAGCAAAAGCTCGTAGCGCTTTTGCCAACCTTCGTCACTCATGGTGCCGGCGCGACATCACTCTTGCCCTGAAGGGTAGATTGTACAATGCAGCAGTACGTTCGACCCTACTGTACGGTTGTGAAACCTGGCCGCTTAAAGCGGAGGACTTGAAGAGGCTAGTTACGTTCGACCACCGGTGCCTTCGTAATTTAGCTCACATCTGGTGGGAACACCGCGTGAGCAACGAACGTCTTCGATGCCTTCTTTATGGTACAGGAAAATGAACTGAACCGCTCAGCACCGTTATTTCACGCGCCCGGCTCCGATGGCTCGGCCACGTGTTACGCATGCCAGCCCACCGACTCCCTCGACGTGCGTTGTTTGCGCGCCGGGGGTGTTGATGGAAGAAGAGGAGGGGTGGCCAAGCGATGACTTGGTCCAGAGGAATGAAGGCCCTCACTTCTGAGCTGACCTCGGTTGGAACTTCTCGGCTCCCTGATTGGGGTCCGAAAGACGATGAACACGTTTGGTTGGACACACTTGCTGATATGGCTAGGAGCCGACCTCAGTGGCGTTCGTGCTGTGAGTTTCTTTGTCCCACCCCATCCATCTTAGCCTCCCCCTCCAACCACGATCTCATTATTTAGCCATATATAATTTTGCATAGTAATTGTTTTGATGCACAGTAGCTGGCTGGTAGCTTACCAGAACGATGCCCATCCGTTACCGGTAACTCAGCCGGCTTGCACCAGCTGCATTTTTTCTCCTTTTTCTATGTATTGCGGCACAGTAGCTTAGGTGTTTCTCACCTCTAGCTAATGTGTATGATGATGGTGATGACCCACTACTTCGTCCATACAGGCTCCAGGAGACAGTTGGTCTTTGCTGGGGGGGACAGGATTCACGGTCCTTGTGGCCATGCTAGGCTGGAGTAGTGGTTCCATACACTCACTGTGGAGCAGACTACGGTTCAGCCACCGCCTTGTGTGCGTTTGGTTCCCCAAATACAGCGTGCTTGTGTTTATCTGTGAGGGAGCGTGAGCCGGCTCCGTTGATGTAACGTGGCTTCCATCCACATGTCTCCCGGTCTTATTCCTTCGGGTTTACACTGGATATGTAGTGTGTGGTCGGAGCCGTGGATAGTGCAGCGTAAGCCACCCATGGTCCCTCTTTAGGCGCAGGCGTCCTGTGGCTGTCCCTTTGGGGGCCGCAATGACAGGAAAATCCGGAAGCGGACGCCGCCCATTAGATATATATATATCGCCAAACGGTTTCGAACGGCTTGCGTACTGTGTAAGTTATCACGAAGTAACATGGTGTCATAGCTGTAAAAGTACACGTGCGCATCTTGCGCTAGCCTGCGAGTGCGGTAATGGCTCGTAGCCGAACGACGCAAGGACAACTGAGCACACAAATGAATAAATTTTTTTATTCTCGACGACGCGAACTTTACCTTTACAAAGTGTGAACAAAAATGTACAAAAAGACATGTTTGCCCTAACAGTGAAAGTGTGTATGGATGTGTATGTAATGGTGTATATGTGTGTCTTGGTAGCTTGTGCTTGTAAGTATGCTGTTGTACTTGTGACTGTTTGGTGGCGTCGGCGATGTAAGGGTAGACGATTAATTTTCGTGGATTGGATGTAATTATCAACCTATCCACGTGGCAGTGACTCTATTTGGTGGCGAGTCATATTCCCACGTGACAGTGTTGACAAACGGACGTTTGCGGCTTTTTATAGGGGAAACGCTTGCCAGGCGGAAACCCACCAGGTCCTGGAACACTGCCGCCGAACTGTTTTCTGGAACCGGATCCACCCGGACCACTCAGCTGGCACCACAACGAGGTTGTTGGGCTATGTCCGGGAGAAGGTAAGCATTGCCTAAGAAATCTATTATTTTCGCCATTAACCGATTATTAACGATTACCGCATCAATTTCGAACTTCCGGAATGTTTTACTTTCTGCACATGACTTAAAACCACCTGACACCTCGGCAAAAGATATGGGAACTACTAACCTTGGTGACTGACCTTCCGATTCTAGAAGTCGAAGGTCAGTAAGAGACCTATAAATACAGCTAAGGTCCGCGGTCGTTGTACAATGTTTGTTGACGGCGATTAATACGTTATTTTGCCAAGGTCATTGGCATTTTGACTTTTGCTTCGGTCGGGCTTGAAGTTTTGTGCAGCAGTAAAGTGTCGATTTCGGTATCGTGTCTAGTGAGAAGATTATAACTGGCTAACCAGCTCGTGGCAAACAAAGTGTATTCTGGCCAAAATGTGTACAGGACATCGATTAGGTATGAGGGCAGGCCACTGGTGATTGGGTAATTGATACACAACGCACACGGTCAATGCTGGGTGTGAACACGGATTGGACATCGTGACTCATGCGCCACATTCCTCATCCCTTTAGTCAGCACTCCCCCGGACAACCCGGTACTGATCAACTGGGTGGCATACTCTAGTCCAGCGGCTCATTGGTTGGACTTCTGGGTGGTTTATGGTCTATGTGTCTTCCGCGACTACTGGCTCGGTTGACGGGCTTGGAGATATGTCGTCTGGTCCGGCCAAAACAGAACGACCGTTGTTGTGATCCCTATGACGACAGGTAACCATCTTGCCTTTCGGTAGTGCTACCTCCGCCTTTAATTTGGCTTAATTTTGCAGCTGCCAAGTCGGTTCCTGGGACAGTTTGACGTACTCTGGCTCGTCCACACGAAGCTGTCGATATGAAACCTTTCAATAGCATCTCTTTTGATTTCTCTTGCCGCACCTAGACGTGCAGTCTCTAATCCGTCTACAACATTGGCTTTCTGTTCAAGTGCTGCATTAAATGGACTTATCCAGTCAGTTCCAATACACAGTCGGGCAGTTGATTCAACTGCAACCAGCTCAAAGCATCCGCAGTGCCGTTTGTTTCTCCATGGAAATGGAAGATAGTGCAATTGTAAGCCGATAACAATAAGGCCCAAAGTTGCATACGGGGAGATGACATCTGTCTGACGCCTTTACTTCCACCAATCAAAGCTGATAAGGGTTTATGATCAGTTAAGATGTCAAAACTTCTCCAAAGATTCTGGTGAAATTTCTTAACACCGAATACAACCGCCAACGTCTCCTTATCCAGTTAAGTGTAATCTTTCACTGCCGGTGTTAAGCTACTAGAGGTAAATATAATGGGTCTCTGTCTGATTATTCATGTTGTGCGATGGCACGGTGCCGAGCCCTGATGTTTAGACGTCACATCGGAGCGTGATGGGTTTTTTCGGATCAAAGTGTACTAGCAGATTACCTTTATCCATGGCTGCCTTGACAGTATCGAAAGACTTGTGTTCTTTAAGTAACCACTGCAACTTGGCAATTTTTCGTAGTAAAGCTTACAGTGGTGCGATGGTGGTGGCCAAATCAGGTATGAAGCGACTATAGTGTGTTACTATACCAATAAAGGATTGCAGCTCACTGATGTCGCGTGATCTTGACGAGTCAAGTATGGGTTGGACTTTTTTCTTAGAGGTTGCAAACCGTGTTTCTTCAAACAAAATTCAAGGTACTGGACACCATCTGCGAAAAAGACGTCTTTAAATTCCTTCAGCTTGAGTCCACTGTCTTGGAGATCTTTCAAGACGGTCGCAAGCGATGTCATATGCTCGCGCTCAGTACAAACAGAAATTAGAATGTCATCCAGATAAGCGCATACACCGCGGATTTCTTTCACCAAGTTCTCGATAATCCTCTGTAATATTGCCGGTGCTGAATGTACTCTAAATGGAAGTCTGTTGTATTGGAACGAACCCATGTGCGTATTGTTACTTATCTCCTTGGCGGATTCATGTAGCTCTACTTGTGAGTAAGCGTGGTTTGAAGCAAGCTTAGAAAACTTCTAACCACCTGACAGAGTTGCGTGTAGGTCATCTATCCGCCGAATAGGGTAGTGTTCTTATGTTACCGCTTGGTTGACAATTTGTAGTCACCACAGATTCGGACGGTGCCATCTGATTTTTGTACTGGAACAATTGGCGTGGACCAAAATGAGTGGTGTACTAGCAGTAATATTCCATCTTTTTGTAGGCGCTTCAGCTCTAACTCAACTTCCGGATGGATAGCAAAAGTTGAGCTCCTTGCTTTGAGAAACTTCGTCTGCGCGTTCTGTATGTTATTGAAAGAAACTTTAAAATCACGTAGTTTGCCGGGCGATGTTTCATCAAGCACACCGGCGTACATTTTCAACGATGAAAGAATGTCTAGAATATGGTCCACTTTTTGACGGTTTGATGTAGTTCCGGCTTTATGTTTGAGCCAGTTTCTACCCAGTAACTTCGAGTCATCCGTGTTAGCAACCACTAAGGGAAGAATAAGAGTGTTGACCTCATGAGCGACTTCTACTTCACACATCTCCAGTACATTGGGCGATTCGCCGGTATGCGAACATAGAATAGACTGTGTCGGGACCAGCATCAGTTCGGGCGGTGTACGATTGTTGACTAACGTAACCAAGGCGCGCGTATCTATTTCTCAACATACCTCATCATCAATACACGTTAGCCGAGGGTGAGAAACACACCTCAGCTAATGTGCCGCAATCCAGAAAAGTAAGTCAATAAGATGTAAAAAAATAATGTAATCTTAAAATCACATTTTGATGGTTGTTAGAGGGAGAAGCTAAAGGGAAGGGGAGGGACAAAGAGACCCCCAACACATACGACACTGAGGTGGACTCTTCGCCATATCAGCAATTGTGTCCAACCAAACGTGCCCATCGTCCTTAGGACTCCAGTCAGTCAGTCGGAATGCACCAATCGACACCAAGTTCGAAGTGAGGGTTTTCATTTCTCTCGACCAGGTCATCGCTTTGCCTCTCCTTCTCCTCTTCCAACCGCACCCCAGGCCCGCAAACAGCGCACGCCGCGGGAGTCGGGTGCTGACATGCGCGCCCAGCCATCGGAGCCTGGTACGTGATATAATGGTGCTGAGCGGTTCACTCCCTCTTACCGCACCAAATACACGACCCCGAACACATTTATTGCTCACGCGGTGCTCCCACCGGACGAGCTAAGCTGTGAAGGTAGTGATGCTCGAATGTGACTAGCCTCCTTATGTATGTTGACCTGATGAGCCAGGTTTCACAACCGTATAGGTGGGTTGAACGGACGGCTGCATTGTAAATGCCCTTCGGAATGGGTATTGTCACGCCGGCGCCACAGATGGCGTGGATTAGTAAAAGCCCATCGAGCTTTTGCTATATGGTTCCTCATCTCATCTTCCGTTCCACTGGCGCTGATATAGCTGCCCAGAGACTTGAGTTTCTCGACCACTTATAAATTATCACCACCAAGGGTCAGTGCATTAATGGATCCCTGCCAACTTTTGAGAACTTTGAATTTCGATAAAAAATAAATCGCCAGCTTTACGCGGTAACGGCGCTTCGCTGCCACGCGACCATCACCAGTCGCGCGTGGACTGAGTATACCGCGAGGACACCCGCCCCTACGCGGATTCGAACCGGTGACCTTATGGTTGCAAACCAGACGCGCATACCACTCGGCCCCTGCCCGGACAGTGGAGACCCTGGCAATTGATCTGCTGCTTGTCAGAAACTCAACTGCAAGATTCGAGTTCTGTAATTACCATCCGATCCCCAACGTGCGACATTGGCGGTATTTTCTCATTACGTTTGTCCGGAGATGATCGGCTTCAAATGCTGATCAAGTCGGTGTGGACATTGCTCTAAGCCCCCCAGGGTGAATCCGCTTCCATCGATTGGATCCCAATGGACAATCGGATGTGCGCTACTAGATTGGCTGGTTTGTTCAAAGTATAGAAGTTGCACGAAGACAAACGGTGCTTGTTTGTCACTGCGGCTTATGCACCCACAAAACATAGCACTGACTCAGTAAAAGACGACTTCTAACACCAATCAAACGCGCTCCTCCGTCACAGAAAAGTGCGGATACTGTGCTACTTGCTGGTGATTTTGGACGATAAAGTCGGAAAGCTTTTCACTGATGGGCTTCATTTGGGTAGTCAACAGGTGTAGAATCCCGTAATGATAACGGTGAGCGGTTGCTACCCCTGTGTGAAGATGCACGTCTCTTTCTTGCGAGCACTAACTTCCGACACAACACCCGCTGGAGAGTGACTTAACGCCTACCAGTCTCGTACCAGCCATGGACGCAAATCGATCACATTTCGATCAATTACCGCTGAAGAGGCTGTGTTCAAAACTGTCGAGTACGAGCGTACTTGTTTGCGCTGACATCCGGGTGCGTTTCTTTGGACATCCGCAGCGGCACTGTGAACGCATGGATATTTTCCAGCTGGTTAAGCCAGATGTCCTGAATACGTATAAAAGTACGCTGGCATTTGAGCTGAGTAAACTCCCATTGAACCCAGTTGAATATCACTGATCGCATATCCGCCAGAAGTCATTAGCATCATGCCTGTTTTCATGTGGCAAATCAAATTTCCAACCCAGGCATTTAGTCTCTACACACTCTGGAACTTATGGATGCTCGCCGATGTCTTCCGGCTGGAAGCGAATACACACAGACTCACAAAGCCCTCAGAGCGAAACTACGTGCTAGTTTGAAGGGAGACCGCGAAGTCTAGTGGTCTCATCGTGCCTCGGAGATGGAAACAGCCGTTGCCATAACTAACCATTGGAAGTTATACTGTTTGATATGAGAAACGAGCAGCAGCTGGTTTGCGAGGCCATATGCGACGAGAGTGGATAGCCGATCCACAGCTTGTCAAAGCGCTTGGAGCGTTGGGCCGGAAATTTTGAGTAGCAGTTTAATCAGTCATAGTTGCCAGTTTTACCTACTCGCTGAACCGTTCCCTTCAATGCGCCCAAGTGCGCAGAAATCGGAC